TTGGTCAGCATGGCATCAGGGCCCTTTCCAAGCCATTTCAGAGTCCTTTGGAGGTAGGATCCCCTTTGGAACCTCATTATCTGTTGAATGCATTGTTACTGAAGCTCTGCTTTCATTCTTCCCAGCCTCGTTTCACTCACCTCTCTCTTGTTTTTGTTTGTTTTGTGACACATGCAGACAGTGAGCGAGGCAGGATTAGAACAAGGATCTATGCACCACCCACATGATGCCTTTGTCCTTGTTCTCCTGCCTGCCGTTGGCCTTGTCCTCCAGCCTGTTCAGTCACAGGAAGGAAGCCTGCAGGGAGAGGCAGCTGTTTGCACAGAGTCAAAAATGCCTCCTTTAAAAGTATACCCAAGGGCTGTCCTTTTTTCTGAGACCAGTTCTGACAGCTAAGAAGGCTGGCGCCCAACTGGCACATTCTGATGCCTTTGTCCTGTCGCCTCCTGCCACATCAAGCCTTTGGCACAGTATTGGTTACTCAACCTCTGCCAGGCCTGCACCTTCTTCTGCCCAACCCATAGCGGTCGTGGCCAACATGTTCAGGGTTGGTATGAATTGGTACTGGGCCATAACTTTGTGGACTTGTTTTCATGGAGGTAGAATTTGCAGAATTAGTAGAAGCACCACTGACCTTCACCTCCTCCTCTTTGACTTCTTCCTGTGATCCCTTTCAACTCCCAGGAGGAAGATCCATGCCTGCTGCTCTACCATCTCCTCGCTGTACACAGTGTGAGTCTAGAGACAGCAAGTCTGCAGAGTTTGGCCCACAGCACCCCAGCCGCACCCACATACCAGGACAGTCCACTCCCCGCTAAGGCACTCGTCTATTGTTGCCGCATAGGTAGGGTGGCCAGTGGGCATTAAGGCTATCTGGGTGGAAAAACCCTTTCTAAACAAAGTAGCTCCCAAACTGCTGGTAAAATTGCTCTTTGGCCCTTAAAAGAAGTGAGGGATGTGGAGCTTCTCTAGAAGCAGATCATGGGAGAACATCACTGTCAATACATCCTTCAGCCAATTTAGTAGCAATGCACCATGTCATTGGTGTTCTAAGCTCTATACTTAGGAAAAAATCAAAGCCCAAGGCAATGGGTGGCCAATATATCTGAATGGAACAGAGTAGGGGAGATACTGATACTTCTTCCCACCCTTCACCAAGCCCTGTAGAGTCCTGAGGACTCTCTTCTTTTGTTGTCTCTGCTTTAGTGCTGGTAAAAATTGATATCTCATGGTCCAAAATCCCAAATGCTTCAGAATCTGAAACTTTCTGCCCGCTAACATGATAGCATAAATGGAAAATTCCATACTTGCCCTCATGTGACTAGTTGTAGTCAAAACTCAGGTGCACTAGAAGTATTGTATAAAATTACATTTAGGCTATGTTATAGCTGTATAAGAAACATAAATCAATTTTGTGTTTGGACTTTGGTGCCATCCAAAGACAGCTCATTATTCACATGGAGATATTCCAAAATCCAGGAAAATCCACAATCTTAACATTTCTGGTCCCAAGCATTTCCAGTAAGCGATGCTCAAACTATAGCAGCAAAGGATGGCATTTGCAATCAGATAAAGAAGAGGAACAACTAAGTTATTAGGGCCAACGAAGCTGGTATCAAGCTAAAGAGCCACCCACTCATGAGTACACCCATAAAGTGCCACCTGGGGCTGAAAGTGGCCTCAAGCAGATATCAGATAAAGACATTTAACACCAGAGGGTATGATCTAAGATCACTTCGGGTCCAGCAATTAAAGACTATATAATTGTGATGTTGCTCCAATATCCTGGAAGTTAGTTACTAGAGACCCTTAAGACTTCTTCCTGATTTGGGCAAAAACCGTATCCTTCTCTTTCCTTAGCTTTATCTGTAATAGAGAAAACAATCTTGTTTGTCAACTACCTGTCTTCAGCCCAATTTTGCTCCTTGGCCTAACAGAATATGCAGAGACTCCAAGAAGCTGTGCTGCCTTTTAGGTCCTGAAGAGCTAGAAAGAAAGTAAAAAGATGGAATCACTTGGCCATACACTGATGCTATTACTCAGGCTGTAGTTGAGTTTGTTTCTTGACATCATTACTTAAAACGAGCAGCAGTGAGAGTGCACAGCCAGGGGGGCCACTGCCAATGCACTATTGACCGTGCTGGATGCCTGCTGGCCGGGTCTCTGCTAAGACTGCTATCCTATTCCATGCCATTCTCCATGGGGAGCAAACAAAAGACATTTCTTTGATCTCTGGTCACTCTCTTTCCAACAGGCACACTCATCAGCCATCTAAAAGCCCACGAGCCACTCAAATCTCTAAGCTTCTTGCCTTCACTGAACTCAATTCAGACTACCTCTCTGGCTTTTTTTGTTTTTTCAGAAATAGAACATTGAAAATTATTCTGTTATCTTCTTAAAAGAATGGTTTGCAATATCATCCCATTGTATTTAAACTGTATAGCTTTGAGAATCAGAATGTCAGGTCTAACAGTGACTTCAGAGGTGTTCTAGGCCAGGGGTTCAAATACTCAATTTTGGATGTGTGTGGATTTGTACTTCTGGAGGTTGGTTGGGGGAAGTATCATAGCTTTTACTGTTGTCTTAAAAGGGATCAACTTACTTAAGAGATGAGAAAACTGGGTTTCAGGAAAGGAAAATGATAAAGTGGCTGGAATGGACCCAGGCCACCTGACTTTGAGCTCTGTGCACTATGTCATCCTATTTATCTTAAAAATCTTGCAGCCAAACACAGTGACCACTGGGGCCTGTCTGTTTATCCTTCTGAATTCCACTATCATAATAATGGGTTAAGTTATGACCTAATTATGACATAAAGAATGAAAGTGCAGACATCAGTAGATGAGAGCTGTCACTACAATCTTAGCCAATGAACTGACAGGTAGCAATTAAATTTAACCCAGCACAAATTTTCATACCTGAGACCTTAGAGAAGAAAGCCCATGAGAAGCAACTGGATACTGATGCAGAAGGGCAGGCAGGCTCAGGGCTGGTGGAGGTGCAGTACCTCTGAAGTCAAGTGAGGCTGGAAGCAGGAGTCCTGGGTTGTAAGCAGAAGGGCCCAGCAAATCCCAATCTGCTTCTTACGCCACGCCTACTCTCTGGAGAGCTCTGCACTTAGTGACATGAGGCACAGTCAAGGGAGCATTGGGTACCATGATGCAAAGGATTAAATTTAAGTCCATGTTCTGAACAGTGAGTCTCCCAGCCCCTTTCCTCAGTTCAGTGTCCTGCATTCAGCAGCCAGGCTTATCCCGTGTTAGACTGTCTCGTGTCAGCTCACCCAGCACCACCGTCATGTCGTGCTCAGCTAAGGCTGCAACATCTCTCATACCCCCTTCCCTGCATGGTTCCTGGACAGTTTGCCAGTGAGAGGAACCTGCGGCAAATGTGATGAAATAAGGGACATCAGAAACGTGGTGGCTTCAGTCTTCTCTACCAGCTCCCACGTGGCAGCCTCTTTGTGGGTAGAGGCTGTGACTTCTTGCACTTTCTAGCAACCTCTAGCGTTTCGTGCTCCAGTGCTGTAGGCTGAAGCCTCCAGCAATAAATTCCTCAAGCCTTTGGCTGCACTTTCAGGCCCTCTACTTCCTCCAACCCCCAGTAGTGACATTAAGCCCTTGATTCTTGCAGTTGGCTGAACCTGAACAACACAACCCTAGCAGGAGATTGAATTCATCTCTGAAGAAACTAGCCAAGCCAAGGGAACAGATGCAAAAACTTCTAACACTGGGAGCCCCTAACAGCGAATCTCTATTAGTTACCCTATATTCATTTTTATTGCTGCTGTGACAAATTACTATAAAGGTAGTGGCTTAAGCCAACACAAATTTATTTTTAGAGTAAAACTGCATTTGAAATTTTTTTCAGTTTTTATTTTTTATTAGTACATGTTTGCAGTACATGATTACATTCCCTGTGGGGAGTTGGTACATGCACAGAACACATCACAAGCCTTTTCTTATTTCCTTCCCCTTCTATCCCTCCATCTCATGATCTCCCCTCCCATTAAAAAAAGCTCTATCTCCCTAGTTTCCTATTATTGTCTATTTTGCTCTTTATTTAGGAGTTTCTCAGATAGGAGAAACCACGCTATATTTAAGCTTGTGTGCTGATTTATTTCATTTAACATTATGGTCTCAAGGTCCATCTATTTTCCTACAAATGACTCAAGTCTATCCTTCTTTATGAAAAAGCAGTACTCTACATTTTCTTTATCCATTCCTCTATTTATGGACACATGCTTCTAAGATTTAGCCATTTTGAGTTGTGCAGCTGTGAATATGGGTATGCATGCACTACTGTAATTTGATGTCTTTAACCCTCTCAGGACATTACCTACAAGGACAATGGCTGGGTCCAATGGAATGGCTAATATCAATTTTTTGAGGAATCCCCATACTAATTTCCATAATGGTTGTACTAGTTTACATTCCCAACAACAATTCAGAAGGATTCCTTTCCCCCACAGCCGCACCAGCACTTGTTATTATTTGATCTCTTGATGACGGCCATTCTTTCTGGAGAAAGCTGGAATTGCAGTGTTGTTTTAATTTGCATTTCTTTAATGGCTGTTTTTCATGTATTCACTGGCCATTTGTATTTCCTCTGAGAAATGTCTGTTCATTTTAGCTGCCTATTTTTTGATTGGGTCTTTTATTTGAGAGAATTTGATTTTTGAGCTGTTTAGGTATTGTAGATATTAGTCCTCTGTGTGAATTGTAGCTAGCAATTTTTTTCCCATTTTGTAGTAAATGGTGCTGGGAAAACTGGCTATCCATATGCAGAAGACTGAATCTAGACCCATATACTCTAGATCCTTATCTCTCACCATGTACTAACTAAAATCAAAATGGATCAATGATCTAAATGCTAACAAACAATCTGCTGGAAGAGAAAAGAGGTAAAACACTTGAAGGCACAGGCATTAAGTAAAGACTTCCTGCACGGAATCCCAATGGCACAAAAAATAGTACCAAGAATGAACAAATGAGACCATATTAAATTAAAAAAACACAAATTTATTGTTTTAGAATTCTGAAGGTCACAAGTCCAAACAGGTTCACTGGGGAAAACTCAAGGCATCGGAAAGGCTGAGTCCCTTTCTGGAGGCGCTGTCCTGCCTTTCCCAGCTTCCAGAGGGAGCTGAACTCTTCTCCCCTGCTCTTCAGTAGCAGTGATGGCACATCTCTCTGACCTTCCTCCACAGGCACAACTCCCTCTGACCACAGCCAGAAAAGGTTCTCTCCTTGCAAAGACTCACGGGATTAGAGTGGGCCTATGTGGATAATCCAGGATGACCTCCCCACCTCAAAGCACCCAACCTTACCATGTCTAAAGTCCATAGAAGGTATCACTTCTGCCTGCGTCTTAGGAGGTTCCTGGTGCTGTGGTCCGTCTCCATGCTCCAATTCTTCCATTCTGGAGGTCTGTGCAGCTGCAGGATAGGGAGACATCTCAGAAGAAATCAATCCTACTAGCAATTTGACTTTGGACCATCCATATGTTAGTGGGTTTTCTTGAACAGAGTTAGTACTCAGAAAAGATAATTTTATAAGAGAGAAAAATAGAAAATACCGATGAGCTGTGAGCATGTGTAAAAGACCAAAGCCTGACATATAAGCGCAGCGTTTGTCCTCAGAGGAGAGAGCAGGTATAGCTAAAAAAGGAAAAATGATGACCAGAAATATTCTGCATTTAAAGAAAATGATCCACTTCCAGGTCCAAGAAACTTAATGACTCCAAAGCACCAGAAACATGAAGCAATTTAGAACAAAGCTACTATAATCAAGTTGTTCAAAATCTGATGTGTGGGGGCTGGGGATTTAGCTGAGCGGTAAAAGCGCCTGCCTGGCAAGCGCAAGGTCGTGAGTTCGGTTCCCAGTACCAGAGAAAAACCAAAAAAAAAAAATCTGATGTGTTTAAAATCTTGAAAGATAACGAAAGACGTAACACTTCACAAGTTCTGAGGGTTAGGATGTGGACATCTTGTGTGTGAGAGAGGGAACCATGACTCGGCGCACTGCACACCCTTCGAGCAGGCTGGCCAGGTGCTAAGTGCTGCGAATGTACAGAGCGTTCCAGTATTAGCTACGACTTCAACAGGTTCCCGCCGGCTTGAACCACCGTTGCTACACGCATGACTGTCCCATCCAAGGTACAGTAGATCTAATCATTTTTACCGGTCTTTTTACTAATAAAATTCATAAAAAGCTGCCTGGCAGGGAGACTTGTGAATCATGGCCTCGTCGTGAATGTGTTAATACAAATGAGAACCTGGGACATGAAATACAAAGCCAAAAAGGAAGAAACAACCTGGAAGAATCAAAGACAAGGTAGAAAGGTTTAAAAAGGTAAAATTAACATCCTCAGAAACATTTGTGAATCCTGAAAACAGGAAAAAGTGCTTTAAATAAAGGCAAGGCCTCTCAACTATTCACAAATACATTAACAAAAATAACAATTCAGTATGAAGTTTTGGAAGCAAAAGGGAGAATTTCACAGAAAGTAGAACAAGGCAAAAATGATGGAAAACTGGAAGCGGGAAAGGGGAATCACAGCTAACCGAAGAGGTCCAACACAGGAAAAACAATGGTATTAGAAAGAATAGTAAAAACAAAATTAGTAGCAGGTAAATTTTTTAGAGTTGAAAGACACATTTTCCAGATGAAAAGGGCATCAAACACCTGGCCAAAGAAATGGAAAATACTTCTATCACGGCACATACCTAATGAATTGTAAGAACATAATAGGTAAACAGAATCTTTTAAAAAGTTCTAGGAAAAAATTAGCATTATATTAGACTTCTCAACAATATTGGACGTTGGAAAGCAAGTCTTAGCAGAGTATTCTTCTAATCAAGACTTCATAACCCGTGAAATTATCACTAAAATCTGAGTTAAATGAAAAAAAATACAAAAATTACCCATAGTCACCCTTTCTCAGGAAACTAATGATGGATATGTGTGTGTGTGCGCATGCAAACCTATACACATCTGTGTGTGTGTACGCACGTGAACATATACACATCCATACACATACACCCACAGAAAGTAGAGAGGGAGTGAGGATTAAAGCAAGAATGATCCTAAGGTCTGGAACTAGGTCCAACCTAGGAGAAAGAAAGGGAATTTCTGGGATGGTAGTGACGTCACAGCTTAGGTCAACGGCTTGGACCAACAGAGAGTGCCACCCATTTAGGAGGAAACAGAATGTAGCCAAGCGCTGCAGACTGGGTCCAAATGTGCTGACCAGAACACTACAGCTCTGCAGTCAGGATTGGCAGTGAATTATAAAGTATGTGAGAAATTCATTTTTAAAGTGGTAAGTTATTCATTTCAGAATTTTAAAAAAGTTTAAAAAGAAAATGTAAAATTACATGGCCATATTTGTCAAGAGCATCTAGAGAATTATCAGTACCGATTCTTAATCAAAAGCTGCTATAACTGTAGGAGACCAGATAGTGAGGACGGAGACCTAATAATTGACCTCCTCTGAAAGCAAAGGAGAGAACCAGCAAGCTGTGCTCCTTCGGCACACGCGCAGGCATGCTGGCACGTTTGAGGCATCAACACCGCTCAGATCTGGTTTACCTATTACCATAGATAATAGGAGGCAGATGAACCTTCTTCTACCCTAATTGCTTGTTCTGTATCTGAGGAAACAAAAGTGAGGTGAGCCAAAGGCTCGGGGCTCTTTATAAAAAAGTGAGATGAACTAGCTTCCTGGCCCCTCTTTTTAAACCAATTCTGTGCCTCTGTTTTTCATCCTCCTTCGCCCTCTGACTGGGACAAACTTACAGGCATTCAGAGCAGGCTTGGTTTCCTACATATAACCAAATTGTGAAGATTAACAAAGTAGTGTCTTTATGGGTAAAGTTAAATTTTCACCTCCTATAGCAGAAAAGTAAAACCAAAAAGTCAAAATGAAGGAACAGCTATACCAGCATTTTAAAATGGAGATAATTAGAAGGGCCAGACAGATGTGTTAGAAGTGGCAGCTAAAAGCCAGAGAGCAGAGACTGTTAGTTATTCCAGGGCTCAGTGGCCTCCAATTTGGTAATCTACACACAAACTTCACATCGATGGAAATAAAAGTTTAAATTTAAAGAACAAGACAATTCAAATGTGAATCAAACTGATGCGTAGATGTTATGGTTTGTGTCTGGGTGTCCCCCCAAAGCCTCATGCAGCCATGGGGCAGGCTTTTAGAGTTTGATTGATTATGGGTGTGAGAGGTACACCCGCCCTGGGGCAGATAGTTTGCATATGTAAGGGAGAGAGGAAGAGGCTGCTTGCGGCCATTCCTCCCTTTTGTGCTTGTTGCTTTTGCTGTGCTCTGCCGCCATGAGCTATAGCCCTCTGCCATGTGCCAGTCTGCCTTGTAGCCAGCTGAGTATGGACTGAAACCTCCACAAACTGTGAGCTAAATAAACCTTTCCTTCCTTAATTTTGGGTGTCAGGTATTTTGTCTCAGCAACGAGAGAAAAGCAACCAAGACAGGAGATAAACAAAATGTGGTATGTCCACACAATGGACTATTATTCAGCCGTAAAAAGGAACAAACTGCTGATACCTGCTCCAATGCAGGACTAAGTAAGCAAAGCCAGACATAAGGGCTGCATGTTGTATGAGCACGTTTTCACAAAATATCCAGAAAACAACAAACTATAGAAAGCAGATTTTACCAGCTGCTAGGAAAGAGGGAATAAAGAGTACTTATTTAATGAATATAGGGCTTCTTTTGGGGGTGATGAAAATGTTCTGGAATTAGGCAGTGGTAATGACTGTACAACACTGTGAATGGCCTAAAAGCCACTGAATGACACACTTTAATTTCAAGTGGTAAACTTCATGCCATCTGAATTCCACCTCAATAATAAAACTGTAAAGAATGATGTATAATGGATTCTGTATGGAGTATATAGATGATTCTATTTTATTAAATAATTTGAGTCAGCCACAAGTCTCAGAAAGATGTTATGTTCTGCTTTATTAAACACAGGATGGTGAATAAAATTTAGGGTTCTGATGGTTTATAATTTCTACAGTAGCTGAGGGTATGTCATCATTCTGAATACTAAAATTGTATTTTGGGCACAACAGGCAGAAATGAACTGTGCACTAACCTAGAATTATAAACACAGAATTTTTTTATGTACACAGTGCTTCAGTAAACATAGCAGCTTGCTTTTCTGTCATCTTCCATTTCAAAATAGACAAGAGCAGAAAAGTTGAATTCAAGGTTCTGAGTTTCTTGTGAATGAGTTTACACTGTGTTTTGCTTTTTTCCAATTAAAATTCACTTCTTCCTTTCGAACTCTCTCCTTTTTTTATAGTTTTTTTTCCCTTTTTTTTTTTGGTATTGGGACTCAAACTCACAACCTACAACTTCACGCTCGCCAGGCAGGCGCTTGTGCCACTGAGCTATATCCCCAGCCCTTAAAAATTTTTTTTATGTTTTTTTTTTTTTAACTCTCTCCTTCTGCAGTAAGAAATGTTGTCTATTTTCTTTGTTATTTAATTGTTGAAAGTTAGGTAAACTTGACCCTTCAGAGGCAACCAAGAAACAAACCTTGGCCACCCAAACTCAGAGTCACAGTCACATGTGTGTGTTGGCTTCAGAGTTCAAATTCTGTTGTTTTGTGTTTTATTTTTTATGGTTTGTTTTGGAATTTTGTTAGGTCACCAAGAAGTTTTTAAAACCCTGTCTCACTTAACGACTTTTTCAGACCTGTCCAAAGCTCTGTGGCTCGTAACTCATCTGATTTTCTCATTTACACCGCCTACTTAAAATTCAGCCAGAAGGATGTATGTAACAAGTAGGACGTCCTTCCTTTCTGTGCATGTAACAGCACTCATGCTTTCTGGATAATTTTATCTTTTATGGATTGTTCTTTAAGTACCATTTAGAAATGCTAGGAAATATTGCAGCTAAATATTTAAGCAATTAGGGGACATTTTAAACACAAGAGTTTAGTACTGTAAAGTGTTTAGAACTATTATGGTAGCTGCTGTAATGATAAATTTGTTAGGAAATTCTGGCACTGAGTCTGTACCTCTCCTAAAGGCACAAATCTGGCAGCCTGGCAGAGAAGACTGGGAGCAGACAAGTAATCAAGGGTGCAATGTGCGAAGTCTATCAGGCTGGCAAAGAGCTCAGGGAAGAAAGCCACCACCAGCATCAGCCTTGACACTCAGCACATGCTGCAGCCAAGGGGTGGAGAGTGACCGGAGCTCCTGGGCAGGAGCAAGGAAGCCATGCAGCGTGCACACAGGCTTGGAATGGCAGGGACCCGGGGTGTTCTGAGCAGCCAGCCACCGGGTAAACGCTAACACAGGTGCTAAGAGAGCATGTGTGGCTCAACAAGGGTGGCGGTGTAGGCAGGGTGGGAGTCTGCAGCACCACCACCCCTCCCCCACTTGGTCCACACAGAGG